AAAGAAGCAGGATGAGGAGTAGAGGGAGGCTCTTGGGAAGAAAAAGAGTTATCATTTGGAATTACATTATGCTGAGATGGCTGAGATATCCTGAGGGTCTTCCTACCCTTCTCCCTTCCTCCATCAAACAAACAAGCAGCCACAAACAAGAAAATAAAGTCATTCTTTGTTCCCTAACCACCACTCATCTGTCAGTTTTTTGTACCATGGTTCCCTAAAAGGAGCTCTGGTGGTGTAGTGGTTAAGGCATTTGGCTGTTAACCAAAACTTCAGTGGTTCAAACCCACCAGTTGCTCCATGGAAGAAAGAGGAGGCAATCTTCTTCCATAAGAGATTGAGGCTTTTAGTTATATGAATACCATATACCTGGCAAAGACACTAGTCAGGATTAGTGTAATATTCAAAAATCTCTGCTTGAACAATGTCTTAGTTGAGGGGAAACATGTTATTTTTTAGACATGTGGGAGGAAGGAAGAATTCAATGAGGAGATTACAGGAGGACAAAAAGATCAAGAAAGTTCCAATATTTTTGACTTTTAAAACTAAATTAAGAGCTGAATGACCATGATGATTTTATGATTAAGCAGAATCTCTTTTTAACACTAATAAAATATTGCAATATGTAATGACAAGCAGATCAAATGAAAAGAGGGAGACAATTGGCTGGATTTTAAATAATAATATGTATATTTATATATCACTTTAGAATTTACAAAGAACTTTCATACTTTCTACTTTACAAATAACTTCTTAATTTACTCTTTAAAAAAATAACCCTTGAGGGGAAGAAGATACTTATGAGAATCTGTCTTACCCAAGGCTACAGTCTTTCTCAACCAAAGGTTTGGATCCCAGTGTTAAGTCTCTAGACTGCTAGTTTCCATTCTTTTTGTGGTGTTTCCACCATGCTGATTTCAATTTACAGAGGCACATAGTGATAGTGTTCAGTGTTGATCTCGCCCAGAGTGCATCCAAACAGAAGATGTATGTTCTTTGGGCAGAATAAGACTTCATCTTTGGAGAAGGGTGATGCTGAGAAGGTTTGAGTACAGGCCATTAGTTATTATTGGCCACTCTAGGCTAAGCTTTATGGTGAGAGTAGAAGTGGAGGGCCAGGTGCAACTTGGCCCACTTTTGGCTATTTCTTTCTTTCTCATTGTCTCTAGATTTTTAGGACTTACAAAGAATTTCTACCAACCCTGGAAAAATTAGAGACTGTTTTATACTAACTTTTGACCAACCTAAGGGATATGAATATCTTGGAATGTTGGATATCCAGCAGTATCTTATGTTGGACCAAATGAAGTTGCCTGTGTTCAAACTTTTCTTCACCTCAGTGATGGCGGTCTCATATAGTTCAATCTAATAGTAGTGACTTCATTTTATTGTTGATGCCATTCTTTTCCAGTAAAGCAAGTGACATGATAATTTTTTTTTTTTTTTGATCCAGTTTCTAGCAACAGCTATTTCCAACAAAATAATTGTGGGAGATAATACCTTATGAGTTAAAGACCTTATGAATTTGAAGTTCCTGGTTAACTTCTCATTCATATCTTCCACAGTGAGACTTCTGTTGTGTATTGTAGGCGTTCTGTAGTAGAGCCATTCAACATTCAAGGTCAAATTGTTAGCTGCCATGAAGTCAGCCCCTGATCCATGGTGACCCCATACATACTGGGATTGGACTGTGTATCTCTGAAGATTGAAGATAATGAGAAGCAAATTCCTTTTGTTCTGTTTCTCTGTGGTTGTATTTAGAAGACAAATATGGTTGCTAACTGGCTTCAAGTACCTTGGAATTGTGGTTTCTTTTATAGCCAGGTCTGCTGTTTTCCCTGAATTCCTGCTTACTTGGTTTTCATGCTCTTTCCCTTAAGACTTGCTGGAGGTACCCTCCATAGAGGAGGAAGTAGAAGAAACGGAGTCTTGGGCAAAGCCTCTTGTCCACATTTGGCAGACGAAGTCCCCAAACTTTGTGGCTGAGCAGGAATACAATGCAGCCGTGGCCAAAATGGCACCTTACTGCGCTATTTGTACTCTGCTCATGCCCTACTACAAGGTAAGCGGGGGAGCTGTCAAGGTATCTCTTCATTGCTACACTGTCTGTGTGCTCGTAAGTCCCAGTGGTCCCCATGGAGTCACTCTAAGGTTAACAGGCACAGAAAAAGGGAAGACATTAATACTCCCGTAGCTAACAGAAAAACAAATAGAATTTCTCTGTGCTGCTTAGGAGGTGACAGCTCTCTGACAGTACTTTTCTTTTCGAACATCCTAGTTTCTTTCAGGAAAGGGGCAGTTCCAGCATTTCTTCCTATCCCTGTCACCGTGAGACAGAACCCAAGACTTAAAAAGAGTAGAAACTTAGAAAAAGAGAGCTTAGACCTTCTTGCATTTTTATGTTTCAAAACATTACACTCAAATGATACAAATGTGAACTCTGGGTCCACATTTTCAATACCTCTTGTCATCCTCTTATGTGGAATTGGCAGAAAACACACCAGGCCAATGCAAGCTGGATAGCTAATTCACCATCATTGGTCAGCTGAACTTAATATGGTCTTGACATTATTCCATATACATTGTACTGATGTCATCTCAGCTTATGGAGGTTCACATTCTTCACCACTAACACAGGCAAAATGTTCTTAAGGAATCTAGTGAGTGTGGTACTACATAGTCTATTCTGAGGTATAATATGTTACAAAGTGTATTGATATGAACGTTGTGTTTTGGGGCATATTTCCATTAATAGAATCAGAAATATTTTATTCAAGATCACATCTCTCTTAGATTTCTATGTAAAGTGAACATTATTTGTTCAGATGATGCAGATACAGACATGAAAATCTGTGATATGCCGTATTTTCAGACCTTTGTAAATAGATGAAGTGTTTTCCTTACTAGCTGTCTTTGAATTGTAGCACTGGTGATCCCTTATAGATCTTAATTTTTTTTTTTTTTGGCTGGAAAAAACTTAAATTTTTTTGAGAGTTATTTCTGCATCTTAACATGCCTATGTATTTCTCTGGTAATTAGAAAAAAGTCCAAATAAAATTATAAGATTTTTGGCAATGAATTAATATAAGATCTTCAGAGAATATAAAGTAATTCATTTACTACAGTTTCAAGTAAACCCTAAACATCATATATTTTGGGGAGAGATGACAATTTTATTTGGAATATTATCCTTTCATATTTAGCAGCAGGCACCAGAGCTTTTTTTCTTACTGTTTGGAAACTTAGCGATGAGGCAGAAGAAGCCTTTCTCAATAGTGTTGCACGGATTAAAACTGGGGTCTTTGAAAACACTTCTTCAAGTGGAACCAGGTATTATTCTTTAGTCAATGAAAGTCAGTCTGTTAGGCTAGTGCAAATAAAGAAGCAAAACGAAATTCATCAGAAGAATCAGTGCTTCTCAAGATCCTGTTTTCATTAGCTCATAACTTTCTTGTAGGAACAGACATGCAGAAAATCCTCTTGTTCCTACAGATTAACTTCCGGATGAAAGTCTGAGAAGCAGCATTGATAAATACTGATATTTGGATCAAGGAACACAATTAGAATGTGCAGCTGCTAGTGGATTTGATTGACCAGCACGAATGAGAAGCTCTTTTCCAGGTTTTTCACTCATGTGTAAATGCTCTGTTTTTTTCAGCCAGACAGCAGCAATGAAGAAAATGATTCTAGATGGGAGACAAAATTAGATGAAGTGATTACTTCAGGAGAAAAGACTAAGCCACTCATTCCCGAGATGTGTTTTATTTATAGTGAGGAAAATATAGAATATTCTCCACCCAATGCCTTCCTGGAAGAAGATGGAACAAGCCTTCTTATTTCCTGTGCAAAGTGCTGTGTACGGGTTCATGCAAGTAAATGAATTTATCATTCAGTCGTTCACTGGCTCTTTAGTCCTTCACATAGTCTTTATCTCTTACGCCGTTTCACTAAATCAAGTCTATTGCATTATACCATTGGAATTCTCAGTTGTTAGACCATTTTTTTCCGATAATCTTCCCATTTTCTCCAGTTTTGTGTACTATCAATGGAGGACAGGTTCATTTTTGTTTTTTGGTATTAGACATCCAGATGCAGACTCTTAAGTGGTTGAGTATCCATTTTTTAGTTGCATCACCAGAGGTAGCAGGGATACCAACTAGACCAGCTTATAGTCATCATGGAGTTCCTTTCACATGCTTGGGTTTTAATTTATTTATGGCAGTAGTTTATAAAAATTTATTTGAATTTTTGAGGTTGATTGATGACTATTTTTCTTTGTGATTTTCTTAAAGAGAAATGGATATTCCTTTGCTGCTTTTGAGAATTACTTTTTTACTGAGACAAACTTTATTCTTTATAAGGATTGGGAAATCTCTGTTGCCTTCAGGGGAAGATCAATCATTACAATTGTTTTTCTCCTAAAGACTGAGAGGGTTTGTCACTCTTTTTTTTTTTTTTTTTAAAAACATAATTGGATAAGTGGTAAATAACAAATTTTATTTACCTGCCCTGTAATCATCTATAATGAGTAAAGGGATCTATTATGTACTATACATCTATTTTAAAGCATTGCAACACTCTAGATTTTACCAAATCATACATTCTATTAACCTACTAATGTATGGCCTGTCTCTGTCCGTGTAGTTTGAATGGTGTATTTTATGATTATTACTGTGTTTACCCAACAGCAATAATAGTCTTCTAATATGTTAGAAATAGCCTCCATATGTATTATTTATTTATTTATTAGATACTATCTGCTTCCACAGGGATACATACTGTGATTGAAATATAATTATAGGAACTCTCGTGTTCATATCGTTCAAAATACACATACATATACACATTCACTTGTTAAATGTATATATTGCTATTTCATCTTGATTTCTGAACTAGCTAACTATGTAACTTAGCCACAATATTTCATAAATGTATTCTTGAACCTCATTATTTTATGGTCTTGGTTAATGATGATAGTCTTTTCTTTGGGTAATTACAATCTTTCAAGTCTCTTATTTCAGGAAGTCAGATAATAGCAGTGTTTCTTGGTATCAGATATGGTCACATGTATTTATCTTATCAGCCATGATTAGCTATTTTGGGGCAGGCAAGTCAAAGTTGAATTGAAGGTATCCCTTCATTGCTAACCATGGTTTGTAAATCCTGTACCCGTCACTGAGATTAAAGCTCAGTTTTGTTTTTTTTTTGCTACCATGCCCACGTTCTTAGATTTCAAGCATGCTACAGATCTTTTTTTTAAAGCTCAGTTTTTGAAATATAATTATAAAATTGTTAAAGAAAATGCAATTTCAAAGGTTTATTATTGGATTATCCCTGAATTTCCCAAAACTCTGCTTCGTGTTCTGCACCGTATTCTGAAATTGTTTTGCATGAATAAATAGCTAGATTTGACAATTTAATAATTTTGTCATTTCCTGTTCAACAATTATCATGCATATCTCTATGACAACTATTGTGCACATTAGTAACTATTAAGACTCATGCTCTTGTAATTCTTTGGACTTCATTCTATTAATTAAACACCATCAGAACCCAAAATGGCTTTGAGGCAGTTTTGCTTATGTTTTGTTCTAAGCAGTAGGAGTCAAATCAGTATGGGAAACAGTTGTCTTGGATCTGTTTATTGAGTGTTGAGATGTACAATATTTTAAAGATGCAAAAGACCTAACACATTGTTCACACTCTTATTTTTTAGGTTGTTACGGTATCCCTTCTCATGAGATCTGTGATGGATGGCTGTGTGCCCGGTGCAAAAGAAATGCATGGACAGCTGTAAGTGGCTTGTGTTAGTATCTTTAGTATTTCCCACATCCCAACCCCTCTGGACACAATTTAAGCTAGTGGAAAGGTAAGATTGTGCACATGATCAACCATTTTCCTAGTCTTTCCTTTCAAATTCATTCTACATGTTGGTTCTGCGTGCATTGTAGATGTATTGTCTGGTGTTCTCAGACTTAAAACATATTTGAGTTATGATGAACCACATTTATGACCATCTCCCCTTTTTTTGTTCACCTTATTCTTAATAATATGTATTACATACAGTGTTGCAGTGCACAATTTGCTGATGTTCTCTTTCTCAGATATTCACTTGCAGTTGTCCAAGTTTATGATACACTGTTCAGAACACTGCCATATAGCAGGCTGTGGCCAAGTTTACAATGAAGCTGATGATAGGAGTCATAACAAATAGACAGTCGGGCAATGTTCAACTCTAAAAACGTACAACAATGAAACTGTCCATGTTCCTGACAGCTGTTACGACTCCTATTTTGTTGATATGACACTGACACTGACTTAGTTGTAGACCAGGCCTATAGTGTGATCATACTTAGCATTTCGTATCATGAGAAGCATCAGTTAATTTGAAATGAGGTATTCAACTTACATTAGAACTGACTTACGATGGAGTCATTGGAATGGTGGAACCCTGTTGTAAATTGGGGATTACCTATATATGTCTATGTGTCCTTCTCCTACTCTGGAACCGTCAGAAATTGCAAGTATTTTTTTCAGAGTAGCTGTGCACTTCTATTTTTAAGTCCTAAAAGTTTGGCTTTGTTTTCCTGCCCAGCCCTATTTTGCAATTCTTGAAAAGAAATAACCTAAGTAATAGTCAAGATGTGGGTGGTCCTCACTGCCCCCTGAAGAATCCATGCTCATACTAAGCTTTTCAACTGACATGAGGTCTTTCTCCCAGTTACTCACCTATACATTACATTCATACCTCTAACAAATTACAGAATATCCGCTCTGTGCCAGGCATTGCCATGAACTTAAGGCAGAACCTTCAACAGCCAGTGATCATCTGCCTGGTGACACAGATTGCTCTTGGTCTTTATTATTTTTCATAAGACTCTTGAAACATTAGCTTACATCCGATCACTGAGTTTCATTCTGTTTGTCTACTATGCTGCCCATTTTCCCATTTAATTATACTCTGTCTTAATAAATTCTTGGCAGTTTTTCTTTCCAGAGTTGTCAGAACCTTGGGAGTATAGACCTGCCAGATCTGAACATGGTGTGCTCTCCACTCATGACCTCAGAGCAGTGCTCATCTGGATGATTTTAATTGTAATAGGTGTATTGGATTTATTCTCAAAGATTTGTAATGACAACAAATTCAGTTTCCTTGCAATCAAAGTTAAAATCCTGAAGTTCAATGTAAGGAAAATGCCTCGCATGATGAGCACTTTTGGCGTGGTTATGTATTTTTAGCTTTCAGCGTGGAAATAGACATATGAAGACTATTAATTAGAGGAGTCTCTGAGGGGTGCCTTTCTGAATGATTTTGTCACTGGCATTCAATTTAAGTCAGGAGGGGAAAAGGTAGAAATGATGGATATTCTCTTGTTGTTATTGTTAAGTGCTGTTGAGATGATTCAAACTCATAGCGACCCTGTGAGCAACAGAATGAAACTGTGTCCGAGCCTCCTGCACCATCCTCACATTCGTTGCTATGTTTGAGCCCATTGTTGCAGGCACTTTGTCAGTCCATCTCATTGAAGTCTTCCTCTTTTTTGCTGACTTTACCAAGCATGATGTCCTTCTCCAGGGGCTGATCCCTCCTAAAAAGATGTTCACAGTAAGCAAGACTTAGTCTCACTATCCTTGGTTCAAAGGAGCATTCTTTCTGTACTTCTTCCAAGTTACATTGCTCATTTCTGGCAGTCCATGGTATATTCAGTATTCTTTGCCAATACCACAATTCAAATGCACACAGTTTTTCAGTCTTCCTTATTCATTGTCTCATTTTTGCTTCCATTAGAGGTGATTAGAAGTACCAGGGTTTGGGTCAGGCACACCTCAGTCCTCAAATTGACATCTTGCTTTTTTAACACTTTAAAGAGGTCTCTTGCAGCAAATTTGCCCAATGCAGTATGTCATTTGATTTCTAGACTGCTGTTTCCATGGGCACTGGCTATGGATCCAAGTAAAATGAAATCCTTGACAACTTCAATCTTTTCTCCATTTACCATGATGTTGCTAGTTGGTGTGAGGAGTTTTGTTTTCTTTATGTTGAGGTATAATCCATAGTGAAGGCTGTAGTCTTTGATCTTCATCAATAGGTGCTTTAATTCCTCTTCACTTTCAGCAAGCAAGGGCACTTTTTGTAGTCCCAATAATCGGATGTATTTGATGTCAATAATAATTTCCAAGTTCAGGTCTTTTCTCTGGTCCCAGAAAATACTTTATTTCCTTTGGTATGATCATTATGTTAAGCAAAACTATGTAAACTCAGAGCATGATTAAAATAACCAAAAAGTCTTGTTATAATAAATATGTTCAGTTCTTGTCTATAGACAGGCCCTATTCCTGTCATGTGACCCAAAGTAAATCCATGTAGAACCAGAATTTGACCAGTGATTTCTTCTCATTCACTCTGAAGTATAGGTTTAGAGATTAGTGGTAACTGTAATGCAGTTCCCCAAGGCATGAGGAGTTCTTTGGTCTATCACAGTTACTTCATGCTCCTGTGCTCACACTCTGAGCAGTCGTGCTGTCTGAGCTGACGTCCCTCACAGGGCAGAGCAGGGCCCAGCCTAGGCTGTCCACTCCAATTCTGAAGCTGCTTCAGCTTGATCATTGTGATTATGTCTAGCATGTTTTTTTTAGAACAAAATACTCAGATTAATTACTCTTTGGAGTTGATTTAATGCATCTTTCTTTTCCCCTCACCCATCAGAAAATACAGTGAGTTGTTTTGTGTTTTAATACTGAAACCATGCAAATATCATTTAATTTGTAATAGAACTGGGAATCCTGAAATATAGCTTTACAGTGATTTTTCAGACCCACATAATTTCTTATTCCTATTTGGAAATGACCTGAATTCACAGTGGGCTAATTGTTTTTTCAGTTTACCCATTGTGAGTGAAATCTATCTATGAAGCTCCATTCCTAAGTGTTTCTTCTGAGAAATCATTGAATTGCTGTTTTAAGTATTGCTGAAAAGTAACTGACAGTATTGATATTCTGACTTTAATATTCAGATTCATTGTGACAGTGAGTGTTGCAATATTAAATTTTGCTAACCGTTTAATGGATATGATTTCTTTAAGTGTTGTGGATAGAACGATTGCATGTTAAAAGTAAAGTGTCCTTAGAGTGGACTTCTCCAGCAATCACTCCCATTTCTTAGAGCAGGCTTCTCCAGCAATCATTCCCATGTCAGATTTGGATTCCAGAGGAGCCCTGGAACTTCTATTGAAATGGAGGCTCTGATGGGGCTAATAGCAATCTAGTAGTGCAACTGAGCTCAGGTGATGCTGCAACGTGGCTTGTACTTCACTAAGGAACCTCATAGTGCAGTGGTTAAGTGCTCAGGTGTAATATGTGTCTCTTCATTTTGAGTCTTAATGTGAATCTTAAAGTTTTTGACCTGAATTTCTTTTTTTTTTAAATGCATGTTATTGAAATATAATTTATGTACAATGAAATACACAATGACCTAAATTTATGTCCATTGTGTCTAATCTATGTATAATTCCCACTATACAATGACTACAATCTACAGCTAATTAAAAAATGTAAGGCAAATATTTGCACTGTAAAAATACTGAATCTGTATTGCTTTCTTTATCTGGTTTCATTTTACCATTTCCTTTTTATCTCATAGTATGTATGTATGGCTATTTCTTTGATCTTTTATGTTTCATTATCACCTGAACGCCACCTGAGGGCTGCACTTCTATTATGAAGGAGGATTTTAGTTCAGTGTCTGTAATGGGCTGGTAACCTAAAAATTAACAATTGAATGCTTAGTGTTTTGTAGAGTATTAGTGTTAATAAGCTAATAAATGATAGGATTTTTCATGTGGTCTTCTGGAGAATTTGTAATACAAATTTCTAAAGAGTAAATGTGTATAAGCATTGGAGAACAATTTCCTTTGTAGTTTACATCTTTTCTAGAGTTAGATTTTATCTATTCTTTGCTTGTAAACAAACTTGATCCCATTAGCTTTTTGTTATTTTTCATCAACCTGGTTATAAAGGAATTTGGATAAGTTTCTCTTATTTTAAGGAGTGCTGGTAGTGTAGTGCTTAAGGCATTTGGCTGCTAACCAAAAGGTTGTGGTTAACTCCATGGAAGAAAGATGAGGCGGTCTGCTTCTATACAGAAATATAGCCTCGGAAATCCAATAAGGTTTGCCTTGAGTTGGAATCAACTCAATGGCAATGAGTTTGTTTTTTCTCTTATTTTAAATTTGAGGGATAATATTATAGCTCTTTGGTGGTTGTTACTCATCAAGAAATTTGGAAGTTATCTGAGACCTCTTGGGGAGGTAGTGGGGTGAGAGCTCCTGTTGTTGTTTTTGATGGCTTTGGCTCATGGTGACCAGATAGTTAAAAGAACGAAACATTGCCTGGTCCTGTTCCATCTTCACTGCTTTTGTTAGAGTACTTTAAGTAGGAGTGAAAACTGCACATGAAGATTGGGAGCTTAACATTGTAGAGAGTGAGATCTGTGATTTTAACCATCCATATGTTAGCACATGAAGGTAGGGAACTTAATGTTGTGGAGGGAGCTCTGGTAGTGTAGTGCCTAAGGCACTTGACTACTAACCAGAAGGCTGGCAGTTCAAACCCACCAGCCACTCCTCGGAAGGAAGGTTGGGCAATCTACTTCCGTAGTGATACTGCCTTGGAAACCCAAGGAGGGGTCGCTGTGAGTTGGGTTCGACTCGATGGCACATAACAACAACAACAACAGTGTTGTGGAGAGTCAGATCTGTGACTTTAACTATCCATGCATTGCCAGTCTTCTGGGC